TTCAAGCGAGATTAGCGACTGTGATGAGATAAGGTCTTTAAACAACTACTTGGACAGTGATCATACGGAATTCATGGACTCATACACGCCAGAAGTACCTGCGACTTCGCAAGTGGAAACTAAAACTCCTACTATGCCTAAAATTCAGTAAGTCACAAGTACCCTTATTTTTTGAGTCTTGTCTTATGAAACTATAGTTCAAAGCTAACGGCCTGTTCATCGGATCCCAAACATAGGATAGCTTATTGTTAAAATCTAATACGTCGATTGCAAGCGGGGACTTTTGAAAATATTGTCTAAAAATATATGCGAGTTTTGACTTTTTGTGATGCCTGCGAACTCGGAAAGAGACACTGAACTTGGGGCTATTCTTATTATATTTGGCTGTTGTTGCTAATAGAAACAATAAGGTACAGGAAAGCCCACCATGGGCTTGTTGATAGAAAATGGCCAGTGATGTCGAAACACTGGTGCCGTCAGTCCTAAGTTTGACGTTGAGCCATCTGGTCGTTGCGGAAGCCACTTGTACATCTAAGACCACACGCGCACATACGCACACAGGGTAAATAGCAATTAGGAATCGAGTATGCTATTGACAAAGAGTGTAAAAGTGCACCGATAGCTGAAGCTCCCTGTACAACTTGGTCTCTATTTCAGAATAAAGGCGTCTGTTACGGATGGCTTTTCAAATAAAGCGTCCACAAGAAAGGAACGCAAGGAAAGCAAGGTCGATTCATCCGACACTGGCCGTCGTCGCAGGAGGCACAGGTTCCGGCGTAGGACAGTTGACGAATTTCTCTCCTGTAAGTGTCATTTCTAACTTGCTGTATTTTGACTTCCGATAATTCATGAACGGTTCTGCAATGCAACTTAATGGAGCTGACGTGGTGGTAAATCGTCCAGTATTACCAAAGTTCTATCACCTTTCACTCACGTGTTTTCCTTTCCTTTTTCATATTCCAGTTGTAGCCCATGTGGAAACTCCTTGAGGTAGTCAAGCAGACCGAACAAACTATTTTACTGAGATGCGGTTAGCTTATTTTGGAGAAATACGAACTTGAACTTCTTCCCTGTCAAAATTTAGGGGAACTTTGAAGGTAGAGTTTTAAGATCAGTTCAAGCACCCAATTGTAACGGTGTATGTAGACAATTAGCACAATGCGTAAGTTCTGCTAACGTTATGGCCTTTGTTGCGCATGAAGAAAGTAAACTGATCTAAATAGTTGCCACCTTTTGTTCATTTTGGAGGTTTTGTGACTGTCTATATATCCGAAAGCATCCCTTCATAATACCGTTTCCATTCAGAGACCATAACCGCTACACAGCGCACAATCGGTTGCTTGTGAATGTTTGCTAAACCAAACCTATAGTCTACCGGCTGACATGTTGTTTCTGTGCTCAAACGCCGCCGCCGCCGCCGCCGCGGCAATTGCGAGCTAATTAGTCATCTTCGGGTGGCTTAAGTTTGGGACAGTGACAAGTAAGCCGGTTGGCGCACATCGTCGCACCGTACTCAGGAGGCCTCACGTGATTAACTTCTAAGTGCGTGTGTACGTCAAGAATGTGATTGGTGTGATTTCTCTATGCGCCTGCCTGAGAGGTACTGAGCACAGCAACAAATGTCTTCTAATTATTACTCTCTCGCTCTTGCACTGTGTTTTATACCTAGTCAGGTGAAAGCCCCAAGGCTAAGAAACTAAGAAAAATATTAATAAGACAAAGAGGACAATGTTACAGTTTTTGTCAACCTCCCGTTTCTTATTGCATGCCCCTTTAGCGTGCTCTGCTATATGAGGTCAAGACAGATTGATAGACAAACCAAATCGAGTGTAGACTAACTGTCTGCATTCTTCGAAGTCCGTGACTCGTCTTAACACCGTCCCCTACAACTCAGTTAGCATAGTGTGAATTGAATTGCGATGGCGAAACGCTTCGTCCGTACATCCAAATCGGCAGATACATTGAATAAAAGTTTTTTAAGGCTACTCGCTGTTTATAAAGATAGCAGCAACGGGCCCTTCCGCCTTCTCAACTCAACCATAGAGAAATTACAAGCGAGCCGCATGTTCGCTTGTATTAGCAATTATCTTAAACTGAAGCCGAATAGAAGAGGTTAGCAAAAGCATACGCCAATTTGACTCTCCGTTTTGACAAAGTCCACCATGCGCACCGCAGCAGGGGGGGCGTCGGGACGCTGACTTGCGCGTGAATGAGATTAGAATGGGGGCAGACTTGCGTTGCATCTATTGCATCTATTGGCCCGGTGCTAGGACCAAATCAAAAATAAATCGAAAGCGGGCGGAAGCGCGAGTTTCTGACGCGACCAGAGACGCCCCCTAGGCGTGCTCGGATCCCACTGTGTGTGGGACTGGCATGGACGCTACATTAGGAGCTTTTTGGCTTTCAGTCCACCAGTCGGCCATTTCACATAAGCACAGACCGGGCTGACTGCACGGACTGAGTTCCTCCGTAAGTTGGCATCCTTCCAAGCCAGGGCGCTTAACGCACCGTGTGATAACTCCAGACGCGTCAGATTATTTGTAGTAGGAAAACTGCGCTGAGCCATGGACTTCACTCTTTCTATTCCGATTTTCAGTGACTGACCGGACCTGCCAGTTGAATGTTGCGGCGAGTGGCGTAGTGGCTGACGTACACGATGTGGTCACTGAAACGCAAACATGAGGATTTCAAAAATAAGATGTGAACAACGTGGATAGCCTATGCAGTACTATTCCTAGCTGCAACCGATTCAGACCCCCAATGCTTTTTATTTTTTCACGAAATTTGTTTTAAAATTATCGTAAGGTTGCCATTAGCGTTGTTGGTTTTTTATATCAACTATTGTATTCTTTCTTACCTTATCTAAGCTCCCGGGGAGAGCATCAACACAGAAGTTGAGGCCGGGTGGATCGAAGCGGATGACACCGAAGCTAAGGAAAGCTCTACCGACGTGCGTTGAATCTAACGATCTTTTTCAGAGCCTTCGAAAATTGACACAGACTTAAAATTGATAAACTCTTAAATATTTTTACTTTTCAGCCCAACTTGACAATTACGCAGGGCTTTCCTGTCCCTAAGACAAGTTTCAGTATTGAGCACCCAGACAAATCACAATCTAAAGAATTAGAGGAAATTTGCGAGGACGAAAAGCGTCACACCGATCAACTGATGGAGTTAGTAAAGGTATATCCAAATCTGTTCTCTTATAGTTTAGCCCTTTTCACATTTCGAACTAAATATAGGTTGCATCTTGCCGGCGCATTGAAGTATAGTTTTAAAACTGCTAATATTTTGTCTCCTGCATTTAGGCGAGTCCCGTCATAATGAGCAGCTTGAGTAAAAGCATGTCTACTGATTTCCTTGAACGTACCAAGGCAGTAAATGCGGCACAAATCCAGCTCGTTTCGGCTCTCGAAGAGGCCTGTTCTCAGCGGAATCCAGGCATATCTAAGATAGTCGACAGACTGGTAGGTCTCACTGCACTGACCTGATTTATCCCCATGTCAGTACGCAAAATCCACGATCATGTTTTAATAAGTGCAGAATGGTTTTTTGTTTTAGTGCGAAAGGCAATCACAGCTCATCACGTATGCCAATCTCACGCCAAACATTTTATCCGTTTTGAAGTCCAAGAAGGAGCAACCCAAGTCTGCTCCAGTAAGTTTTCCTGCTTTTAGTTAGCTTCTTACAAATGTTGCGTCTTTGCCAGTACAATATCCTTTCTTCTGTTGGACTCCAACTGATGCTTTACTTAAACGGAGACCGATTGATTAAGTCTACATGTAAGAAAGAATGAAAATCGGCGTTTAGAATTGTGGAACAGTTTGCATCCGACAGCAGTAATTAATAGCGAGAATGTTATGTTGAAGGTGTGCGCGTGATCAAGTCAAAAGTCTTATGATGACCCATTAAAAATAGAAGTGTTTCTTACAGAACCTGTTTGTATATCTGTTAAGCCAACTCTCCCATCCTCAAGCTATCTTGGGTGTTCTTCTGCCGCCGTTGTTCGAAGATACTGTACTGCGAAGAACATTGTATGTTCTGAAAAATCGGCATCCCAAGAAGTATAATTCGATAGAAGAAGTTCTTCAGGAAACGACAGTTTGTTGTGTGAATTTCGACACTGGCTCACCAGGTCGTCGTCAGACGGATGAGAGTTGTACCAAACAGTTAAGTTAAAAATGATGGCTCACATAAGATTATATAGTGGGTCAGATTTTTAGTAGATAATCGTCCCCCACATGTTATTATGCGGTCGGTTGGGAACTAATTATCGACCGCATTTAATCTTGCGCTCGGTGGGGCTGGCTTTTGCTTCAGCTAGTTCGGATAGGCTGCCGTTTCTTCCATGCTTCCCTGAGGTCCAATTTGACGTGACTGTTGATGCACGAGTCGTCGGAATTGATGGCTTGTATGGGCTAGAGCCATCAATGGAAGTTTCGTCCCAAGCAAATTAGTACCCAGTTTCTAATGTGTTCATGGCGACTTCGGCCAAGTAATATCGCCCCTTTACCGTTCGTTGATATTCGCGTATGCGTGTGGAGGCTGATCGTCCTGTCTGTCCACAATAAATCGCATTGCAATCGCTACAAGGGATCTTGTAAATAAATTCTTTTCTGTTCAAATGGCCAACCCTGTCCTTAGGCTGTGCAAACCGATTTCGCAGAGCATTCGTTGGTTTGTGTACCACTTGGATTTGATGCTGCCTCAGGTGTCTTTCAACGAGTTGAGACACATTCTAAATTGATGGAAGTGTTCGCCAACTTCTTGGATTGGGCGCATTGATCGGGACAATCAAGTTCCTTTTCGTTTTGTTTTAACTGCTGTCGTCTCTTGCATCAACGCACGAACTTTCTGGGGTAACCGGTTTTTGAAAACAGTTTGGACAGTTAATTGAGTGTGGCTTGGTAAAGTCCGGGGCTAGAACAATGTGTTCTTGCTTGATTGATTAGGGTGGTAACAGTACTCCGTTTGTGAGCAACAGGGTGGTTGCTCTCGTAATGTAGGATAACAGTAAACTGATGTTTGGAATGTTCTATCAGTATTCTGCTGTACTAGGACGTCGAGAAATGGGAGTTTACTGTCAACTTCTTTTTTCGAGTGTGAATACGATGTCTAGCATAGTTGAGTTAATAGCTTTGTGTAGTGCCTCGAGCTGGTCCCTTTTAATAATTACAAACGTGTCATCAACACGGCGTACCCACAACTCTGCGTTAGCTATTCATTGTTTCTAATTTTTTCATTTTGACCTCAGCTAAGGAACTCAAAATTTCTGACCCCATCGGAGCTCTTTTTATCTGCGGATAGTGTTCTTGTGCGAACAAGAAATTAGTTTCCAAGCAGAGATCCAAGAGTTCAAGCAGCGCAGATACAGAAAAGTCTATATCGTAGAAATTAAGTAGTTCTTCTGTGTATTGCCTTGTCAAATCCAATGGTATCGACGTGAAGAGAGCGACGACATCAAAGGATAACATTATTTCGTCTGCGGCTATTTAAAGTCCTTACAAATTGTTTAGGAAGTCCATAGAATTGTTGATTGATGTTTCGCAACCTTTTGTCAGGGGATAGAGTTTTCAGAATAGCTCTTTCGAGATTTTATAATTAGGTGCACCGATTGAGGAACTATCGTCCGCAGTGGTGCATCGGGCTTGTGTACCTTAGGTAGTCCGTAGATCTTGGCTATGCTTGGTTCCTTTTTTTAAGGACTTGGCAATATCTTCTGATATTTGCTTCTTTTCTGTATGACACTTTAGTACGTTTTCAATAGTTGCATTCCCTTTTTTGGTGGAATCCATGTTCAGAGGTTTTTAGGTTGACTTGTCCTCTAGCAATGATGTCATCTTGGCATCCTAGTCTGCCTTATTCAATATGGCAGTTGAGCCTCCTTTACGTGCAGGAGGAATGACGATGCTTTTGTCTGTTTTGAGAGACTTTAATATTTTTTTCTTCTTGTGATAACATTGAGTAGGGAGTTCGGTTCTTTAGGGCGTACATAGTGCTATTTCGGATTGTGAACTGCTCATCTTCTGTTAAATTTTGTGCTCATGTTATGGATTCCAAATTCGCGAGGAAGGCTAGACATTTTGGATCGGCAAGGTTGTATTTCATTCCCGTAGACAGCACGTGTTCTTCGCTTGTTGTGAGAGTTCTCGATGGTAGGTTTACTACATTAGTTGAGTAATTCTGGCTTGTGACAGATTGTTTTGTAATAGCCATTCATTTCTTGAGGAGAAGACGACTCGATCGCTGGGACAATACTTTTATTAGCCTGACGATTCGAGATCCATCGCGGATTCGTCGTCGTCAGAGACGTAATCAGAAAGCGGTAGCACCCATCTATTGCTTTTTTAATTTTCTGTATGTCTATGTCCTCCAACCATATATACATAAGTACGTACCTTTCTTTTGTAGAGTTTGCAGTCGCAGATCGGTAAGTGTGCTTTGACCGATTACTTCATATGACCTACATACAACTCATGGACATTAAAATGGTCCCCTTAAATTGATCCTTTATGCTTGTTTTGCAAGGGTTATGTGGCCACTGATAAGTTTAATCTCGACTTTAGAATATTACCACACACAAATAGGTTCATGCCAATTCATATGTTGTTAAAAAAAACCATCAAACACACTTGCCACTGCATCAGAACCCCTAAACGCAGACCAATTTCTCTACAGGATCTTCTAGTTTGTCGGAAGAGCAAATCTTTTCGTATTTACCCTTATGATTATATAAAATTGTTCTACGAATTTGCAGATCTCGTTCAGATGCCAACAGCACTAATTGCTCAGTCATTTGACACCATAAAGGTAATTTTCATTGCCGTTTGAAGCTGTGAGTATTTTCGAGCATCTCAAGTATTTATAATAAACTGCGCTGTTTCTTGACCTTGCAAGCGTCCTAAGAGTTGACAGCGTGGCCAAATCATGTCTCGACTGTCTAGAGGAAAAATTTTTAAATGTCCGCATTTCACGGCCACTTGAAAGCTTGTAAACAGCAGGTGGACCTGAAGAAAATGAAGTTTATTAGCAAAACGTATTTTAAGGAAAATTATTTACTTTTAATTGTCTGCATAACTTACGATTTAGATGCGTTAAGTTACGACCATTTTCCTCCTAAGAAACTACTTTGGTGGAGCAACTACTGTTCATATAAACAAACCAGGTGCAATTTTGCATGCACTCAAAGGATAATTATGACCTAGAAAACACGACCATTGGATCATATTGCAAGTTCTTAGATCTCACACTTTATCATGTACCTATGTTTTACAGCGTTTAAAGAAAACAATTCCTATCACTTCCCCTGAAATGGTAAAGCTGATCACAGCCGAGGAGGAATTATTTGGTACTGCCAACAACTTAAATGAATTCTCTTCGAAGCTTGCCGTTCAGAAAGAGCCGGTAAATTGCCGTATTTTCTAAACTATCCTATAAATTGTATTCTTGACTTTCAAAACTTTTGTTAAAGGTTACAGTGAAATAATAGCATCACAGACACAACCACTGAACATTGTTCTGGCTACTGGGACGCCAGAACGTTATAATTTGGGGCAGTTTAATTAGCAGGTAGCAAGTTATCCCGCAGAGGTTGGTCACGAGCAGCGCACAATAGATGCACTATCTCATGAAACGTTAAGCGAAATGTAAAATTTGTTTTTGATTGGAAAGTACTACTTCCGTGGATTATAATTTTATATCGTAAAGCCTAGCCCCTAGATATTTCAGTCATGCCAGGACTGCATTGTGAAAGTAGCTCTGTCAAAATGAATACCTCAATAGTGCGAATTTTGCCCATTGGCTTTCAATACCGTTATAAATTATATAGAAATAGAAATAATGTACATGAATATTACCTTTTGTATTTTTCTGATAGAAAACTACGTCTTCTCTATAATTTCTACCTGAATAAAGGATATCTTTTGGTTTTAAAACGTTGCAAATCATGAAATATCCGTGTGTAAAGCATCGTAACTTTCCATTTAACCATATTGCCTTTAAATTATAGCATAAAATGAATATGAACTGTAAAATCATAGAAGCCCTTAATTGCCTCTTCTTAATAAGGTATATAATTGCAAGAATTTCTTACACTGGAAAGATGCAGCTTGAGTTTGGGAAAATTTTAAAACAGGTGTAACAAGTGCGACTCCTTT